ATTTAGAAAACAAGATGTGGTTGTGGGTATGAACAGAAGTTCTACTTGTATTAACTGACAAGAACAGTCACTGATATGCTCTCTTGTTGACTTTTTGTTGCGATGCTCCTCAGTTTTAGCTGCAAAAGTTGACTGGATCCTTGTATCAAGATCCGCATCAGATCTTGTCTAAAATTTGATAAAATCCTGAGAGAATCCTCTCCATTATCCCTGTTAGGATCCTAAGCAGGATCATGAATGAATCCTTGAAGGATCTTGTATTCATTATCTACAAACACATCTGGTCAGATACGGAAAGAAATCCTAAACAGGATCCTGTATAATTGTGAGAAATCTCGGCAGCAGGAATTGAGCCGGGATCCTGAGGAAAACTTGATAAGATCTTGGAGATTTAGAATCCTGACAGATCCTTGCAAAATTTCTAAAGGAATGAACAGGATTGAGACTAGGGTTCTGTTTGCTATTAAAAGTGATGATCGGAGGAGGGTAGCTTCGCGTAGGTGTCCGTGCTTCCCCTCATGAGTTTCCGAAATCACGAATACTAGAAACTTCCAAATTATTCATAAAAACTGATGAGCGGGTGGGAGACGGTAGCTTCGCGAAGGTCCCCTTACTCCCCCTCAGGGATTTTCAAAATTTCGAGAAAGTTCCCGTGACTGACCGTGACCAAGCTCCAGTCACGGTCACGGTCACGGTCACGATCTTTAAAAAAAGTCACGCACGGTCACGGCCGTGACCGTGACCGTGACCGTGACTCACTGATAGTCACGGCAGTCACGCCGGTCACTAATCACGATACCACATCGAATCGAACTTTGGACTGAGACACCATAACTATGTTCTCGCTTATCCATCTAAAGAAGTCCTTGGCAGTTTGATTGTTAGATTGGCAATATGGAATTATACTACTGATATTTTAATTCTCGAATCATGTTCCAATCGTTGGATTGACGAGAATATTACAGACCATTGTAAAAAACTCGAGATTGAATACTTCATCTATTGAAATGGTAAATCCATGTTAATGGAAACTCACGTATAGTTGTTCACTAAAAAAGTGTACGGCAAACCTCAAGATTGTCTCTTGGTTCAAGTCTCAAAATAGCCTACTTCAATAGTTTTGCGAAATAGGTATTACATGATAGCAGTTTTCAACAACTTTTCCGACATACTCTACCTTCTGACACTTGCCGTTCAAGATCATCAGAAAAGTCGTTTTAAGGGCCCCTCCCTTAGAAAATCAAATTTTTTAAAAAAATATAGGAGTTTTTATCACAGAAAGATGCAACGAAGCTTCCTCTTTCATAATATATAAAGCTTCTTGAAAAATGATCAGATTTTCAAAGACTTATCACACGAAACTTTGACTTGACTACTATATTTTCTGAGAAATTTTCATGGTTTTTAGAGTTTTTCAGTTTCAAAAAAACCGCGCTGCCACTTGCATTATCATTGAATAGAACATTTTTATATTAACCAGCATGTCAGATGGCGTCAACTACCATCATCTATTACGTACTTTAAAACGGTCCACTGGAATACATTAAAAATATATCATTGTAATATGATTTGGTCTGGATTTGAATGAAAAAAACCATTTCTAAAACTTCTTTAGCGATTTTTTCAAAACACGATTTCTAGACAGGAAAATTGAAATAACTCCTCCTCGGTTCGGGATATCACTGATGGTTTTTTTTTGTTTTAAAGATCTTTATCAGAGCTAACTATTCATCGGGCGGATTTTTAATACTTGATTTCAGGGCTGAGAAAAGTGGGATTTACTGTCGTAGAGTGACATTCTATTATGCTTATTTTGCACATCATGTCCACAAAAATGGTCATTAAGAATGAATGAAAGGAAGCTTCAAAATTCCGTCCGATGAAAAGTTGTGCACAGAGAGTAGTTTTAATTTGAAAGCAGATCGACCTCTGTACTCCTTCTAACAACGGAGTTATTTCAATTCTCCTGGAAGATAGAAAAACAAGTTGAAAGTTTGGTCTAGTCAGGCATAACACACTGAAATTTTTACCACAAGCGTTTTCTCACTAGGGTCAATCATTCCTGAGAATTTCAGCCCAAACGGTCCGTTCTAAGTAGGAAATCATTTCCGATGGGAACTCCTTAAGAAAGACAAAAAAAAATGATTTCTTGTTTCATCATATTTTATTCATTTATGTGTATGATCATATATAAAATATACACTTAACGAATGTTGAAACGAACATTGAAGAAAAACGTATGAGAAAACTAATTTTTCATTAAAAAAGACATTTATTTCTTTCGAGAGAATCTTCCTAGCGAGGAAAGATATTGAATTTCGATGCTTGTAGAAAAATAACTAGATCGCTTCCTCTTCTGCATGTTTCTATACATGACGCTATAATAATCTGACGACAGCACACAAATACCAGCTACTTATGGGTACAAGTTCAGCGAAAAAAACAATAACGCTGTGCAACAATGATTCATCATCAATCTTTTGCATCGTTCTGTTTCGGACTATGAAATGTGTGCAACGGGTGGGTCTTTACAAATGTCAAAGCATTTCTCGAGTGACTACAAACTGTATTTTTTTAGAACTTCAAAAGAACCTAAATGGAAAGTGTGGATAAGTCAATGAATATCTTCTTGTAGTCCACACTTTTATCGGCTATGCCCATATCCTCAAATGAAAGAGCATGTCAAGAAACCTTTAAATCCAAAAGTTCAGCTCATTTGGATATCTTTATAAAAAATGATGATCGATACATTTCTTCTGATTATCAGATGACAGTCAATGAAACTGATTTCTGTCTCAAGAGGAAACTTTGATAAATGCAAGTTCACTTTATAACCATATCATCTACTTTATGTAGACCCTGATGAACTATGAATATCGTATGAAGATTTCGGGGTGTGTGTGTGAGTGAGATGCGTCGTCTATTCATCCATACCAACACCATAGAGAATGAAGCAACTGCAACATTCTGTCAACTTTGAATATTTATCAACAAATCAAACCAATCATAATCGAGAAAATTGAATGTAATGGAAACATTGATTCATTTAAATAATTGAAACCAGAGACTAGAATGAAATATGAGTCATTTGCTAGGAATTGTTTGCAATTGAATATTTTCAAATTTAGCATATCTCTGACTATTCGATAAAGTTGCCAACAGACAGTATCATATTTTGCTTAGTATCAATATCAGAAAGTTATATGCTTGTGATTCGTCAAGATAACATTCTAACTACTGTCAGAAGCATTTATTTTGTACATGTACTCCTGCGATATCTAAAATTCACTCAAGCCTCCAACGCATCGAGGTACTTCTTGACATGAGTCACTTACTATTCATTATTGATGCGTTTCAAAGATCAAAACGAGGTGACTGAGATCTCTGATAAAATCCATAACTCTATCTAAGTTAACGTTCAATTTATAATATGTGCTATCATCAGCTTCTTTTTAATTTAAGGTGTGTCTTATATTTGAAGAAATCTTAAGAGAATAGCACTCTAGTAATTCTTCGGTGATCATCGCAAGATATTCTTCAACGAATAGAATTAATATTGTATACTAAGAATATTGATAATGAGCTGTACAGTTCTAGTGAATTATTTGTTCATAATATGTACCATATACATATGGATTATTCGTAGCTTTTCATTGACGAACATGAACATAATTTATAATTTAATACAGTTTAATTTATTTTAAATCGTTTTTTTAGGATTACAATTAATTTTAAAAACAAAAATATCAAATTTGAAATTTTTTAAAAGTAAGAGTAATCAGAGATTTCATGATGAATGATTTAATTTCTAGAAGTTACAATTTCGTTTGTTTTTTGCCTAATTTAAAATTTGATCAAGTTTATGAGATATATGTTCAATATAGCATTCGATATTGACAACGTAAGGTTCAAAAAAGAACCTGAAATTGATATTTAAAAACAAAACTTCGAAGTTTTACTTTTTCTAATTATTTAAATATAAAACTTCAGATTAATTTCTTATTTTTCTAAACTAAACAAAATACTTCTTTTTTCTTTTAATTCTTTAATATTTATTCATGTCAATTTCAACAAAAACTTATATATTTAGTTTTATTTTTAATTTGTTGCAGTTCATGGATTTCGCTTAAAAAAACATTGTCGACACGATGTGGAATGTTCAAAATCATTGGTGACGAAGGTTTTCACTAGGCAAGAAGTTAATGACAAATGAGATACATAAATGAAGATGAAATTTCCAGAAAAAAGTAATGGTAAGATAAGATACATGCAGTCGCAGTTTAACAACGCCGATAACTTTGGACAATAGATGTCAAAAGATGCATGTAGGAACTTTTTTCAGTTAATAATTACAAATACGGCAATACTATATCAAGCAACAAGTAGGCATATTAATAGACTTGTGCTAGACCTCATACTCATTATCTGAGTCAACAATGATGTGCTAACCATTTTCCTGGATTCATTCCGAAGAATCGTTGGTCTCAGAATTCAAACTCATTGGATTATAATTTACAGAACGAAGTAGTTGAAGCTATGAATCGAGATCTTTTCACGTGAAATATTCAATTCATTATTTATGATTTACGATTTTTTTTTGTTTTAATCTTCTTTTACCGATATTTGTATGTATATCGTCAAACACACAATTAAAGACTTTTGAATTAATTAAATAAGAATTTATAATTTATGTGACCTAATTTTATTTTCACATATATTTACCCATTTCCATTTTCATAATCTATATTTTTTAATTACGAAAAAAAAAATACATCTCATACTTGCTGAAGTACTCTGTCATTCTGATTGACAAAAAAAGAAATAATGATTCTCATATTTTCGATCATGTGCTTATTGTCACTAGATATATTTCACTAATGTGAGAATGATGAAAATAAAATTCAGGTGAAACAGAATAACATAAGATAAGATACTCATTACTTTAGTTGATAACATACACGCAAATATTCAATTTATTCTATTCTTTGTCGATATTAACTATGTATTCATTACTTCGAACTTTAGTTATTTTTGGAATTCTGGTATCATTACTATTAATCCATGCAACAAAAGCTGGTTCGATTCTCTCAGCATTGGATCATAAAACTATAGACAAGGAGAAGTGTAGTCCACCTGGTGCTATATGTGGTCAAGATCCACCATGTTGTAATCCCAGATGTAGAGTTAATTGGGGTGGTGCTTGGTGCACGTGAAATAGAATACTTTTAACATTCAGATTATACCCAATAAACATGATTGAATCTTTTTTATTTCTCTTGATCTTTAACAACTAATAAAAACAGAGATAAATTTCAAAAATACACCATTAAATGCAAAATTGAATGGACTACATTTTAGTATAAAGTTTGTTTTTTTTTTGGAAAATTATTAATTATTAACTAGAAAAATGCTGTGTTATAAATTTTGATCTTCAAATATACTGTTAAACAAACTAATTAAAATTTAATTAATATTCTATTAATAATTAAGAAAAGTGAGCTTTAAAAGCATAGATTTTAGGACTTGAAAAAAAATAACCCATCTTTTAGATCAGACTTTGTGAAAGTTATCTGTTTGTTTGGTAACGATATAATCGTCAAAATATTGAAAGTGTCTAAAAGTTTTGCCTGTTAGAGAAAATGTGAAGATCCTTCGTTTTCTTCAGGTTACAATCAATTAAATCTAAGAATTCATGATTTCTGTAGATCTTAACTCTAACTTTATATGGCATGCAAAATATATGATTTATCTCCTTTCTTTTCAAAAAAAACACAAAAGTAAAATGTAGAAGTAAAAACTTGAACTCCTTTCTCCCGATGATCGTGAAATATTTTTCTTGTGTGGCTTTGTAAAATGTGACAAACGTTGATATACGATCAAAGATCGTCTCATGATACTACATGTATTACTGCCTTATTGTATTTCAGCAGGATTAAATAAAAACAAATGGTGAAGAAATATGTCTCAAAATAGATAGAATAAAACAATCACTCTATGATTAGCAAGAGTAGCTGCACTGTGTTTCACATTTTAATACCACCGGGATTACGATAACAATAAAATTAAATATTGAACTTTCTGTGATTTTATTCAATTTATTATATCAAAAGACAAGTGATTTATTGATCAATTTATTTTACAACAAGAGATATCTATTCAATTTTCAAACAGAGATAATAAATAAATTCTAAGTAACAATTCCTAGTGTAGGTTTCGCTCCGAAAACATTCAATTAGTCAATATAACCAACAAAATTGTATCTCTTTTATAGAAAAAAAAAAAATTTAGATTTCAAAAACAATTGATTATTTTTAATGAATTATGTAGAAACATCAATATGGTTTGATATATAATCATCTGGTTTTTTCTCACAAAAATATGTACCATTATTATTGAAGAAATATTTTCATAGTCAAAAGAATATAAATAACTATTAATATTATGAGAAATTAAATAAGTTTATCAGCCAAGTATTCTGTTTCTAGATTATTAAAATAATAAATAGTACAAAAGTTCTGTTTTCATTTTGCTTTTAACATTACATTGCAATGAAATATCGTAGAGAGACTTCTTGAAGATTACCCGACAGGAAAGTTGATACCACTGTCGATCATAGGCAAAAAAAATAATAAAATAAATTCTTCTTCGAGAGTAAGAAGTTGTCAAAAACTAGAGATTTTACATACAAAAAAAAACAAAGGTTATCGACTCCTCTGTCAACTAATATTTTTTGGAATCGAGATACAGTTTATTCAAACAATAAGGTGTCTTCGTATTGTAAACACTAAAATAGTTTTGTGAAACACAATTTCAATGGAGTGTTGAAGTATAGGAGTAAAAAGTTGAACTCCTATCAATCAAATTTCGTTATACTATACAAACTATTTCCTAATTGTATTTTTAGAGAAAAATGATATTTTAATCCCATAGGAATTGCGTTCATAGCTTTTTCTAATTAAAATTTTTATTACTCAGTATTATTAACGCTAGATTAATTATTTTAATATCATACGAAAACTTTTATTGTAATGGACAAGTCAATATGAATATATATAATGCTCGAAAACATCAATAATAGATAATAAAAAATGTTAAATAAATATGTAAATCATGATCGATGTTGCTGACGGGTTTTCGGATGGTTTTTCTGGCCTCGAAGAAATGTTTCTAATTAAATTTTTTTCATATATTTCAATGCTAGATATTTTGCTGTTTGAAATACAAAAAGAAATAAAAAAGTCTCTATGATATTTCATAACAACACTATGCAAAACTTTTGTATCATCTACATTATAGATAAAAAATAAATTTGTAAACTAATTTATTCATTTGAAAAGATTTAATTATCCATTGATAAAGAAATAGCACAATTTTTATGATTATTATTAAAAACAAGAGGGAATCGATATATAATAATCTATTTGAACAATATAATTTTACTCGTTGTTCAATACGATTTTTCCCTTCTAGTTAAGAATTAATCTACATTTATCTTATGATAAATTACTTAATAAATGTCTATTGATGCTAACATTTCGGCATTTTCTACCAAGAATATATGACTATTATTGTAAACAGAAATATCCATGGAACTTTCAGAATGATTAGTACTATTTAATAATCATCATCCAATGAAAATAAATTTATTTATATCTACAATATGAAATGTTTTGATAGAATTTGAAAATTTCGATCACAGACTATGACAGATGCTGTTGATATAAGATCAAAGATCGTATATCAATGAAATCTCGTTATAATCTATGAATTATTACCTAATTACATTTCTGGAGAATGATGATGAAGAAATGTGTCAATAAAGCAATCTCCTGTGATTAGCAAGAGCAGCTACATTGCGTTTCACATATTAACCCTTTAGGAACTTCGCTTACAGCTTTTTTTTAACTGAGGATCAATGAATTTTATTAACAAAAGTACCTACCTGACGAATAAACATGAATTTTATCTCCCTTGATAAACATTTGTTGAGGAACGAAACAGAGTATAAACTTTTTAGACTAGAATGACGAGGAAATCTCTTCAGCTGCTTCGTTCCTATCGGAAAAGTCGTATTTTCGAATTTTGTTCTAAAACTTTTTGCATATAAAGAACTCAACTAGATGTAGTATCTATACGCAAAAAAATCAGTGAAATCAGAAAGAAGTAGCTGAACTAGTTGTCTCGTAAGACCTATAAAAAATAATATCAATGCATAATTTGTTCAATTTTGTGTACTACGTAAGTTTTCTTTGGTATATCAAAATAGACTTAAGCCTTGTGCTATATTTTGCATTTCATATAGAAGTTCATCAGTTGTCATCTTGTCGCTTCTAGATAAAAGTTAGCGCAATATTATGTTTTTATTTATTGTTCATATTGTGTGTAACTTATTCTAATGTTAGTAGTTATTTTTTGTATTCTGTCAAACTCTAAGAAATTTAGTAAACAAAAGTAATGTATAAATTCATAGATGATACCATCAGAGTAGATATTATAAACTTGTAAACTCTTCTCAAAATGATTTATTTGAATAATTAATCATGTCTTTGACTTAATCTACGTAATGTATTCATTATAGGATAGTTCTTTTCAACTATGCAATTCATTCAGTGATATTTAAGCAGTTTATCATAGACATAAATAATGAGTTTCCGTTTTATGTCAGGTCTGAAACATGTTTATTCTTATAATTATTCTTTTTTTTCTATTACTTAAATGTAAAAATACGCTTACATTCTTCTTCTTTTTTTCTCGCTATTATGAAAGTATATAAAAATTATTATATAAACATATTTCTAGATTAAACGATTACAATCATGGTATCACAACGATTTTATCTCATTCTTATTCTAGTTATGGTTATTATGCCTGCTAATAGTATTCACTATGCAGGAACATTAACTGGAAGAGAATGTATAGCTTGTAAGTTGCAAACAAATAATAAATTATTTTTGTTCATTATCTAATTAATTATATTTATCTTAGATTATGCATCGAATAATGCTTATAAAAATCTTCAAGCTTTATTTAGTTGTCCAAAGAAATGGCTAATAAAAAGCAGAAAAAAATTTCTCATGTAGACACGCATGTTTCACTCGTTAATAATGAAGATTAATAATGAACATTATTTTTGGACTCAATAATTATTCTTTTCTGTAAATATATATATACCAGTATTGCATGGTGTTCATCTGTATTTATAGATATTTCTATTTCACAAATAAATGAAAAATCCGCAGTCAATATAAATAACATTTTTTCGGTTGTTCTATCGACGTTTTTCTTAAATAACTCAATTGAACATTTTCTTTGATACATCGAAAAATAGAAAGCTATATCAAATACATATAAAATAAAAAGCAAAAACAACAGCACTAAATATATGTAAAATGATACAAATAAGAATATTGAAAATAACTGTTTAGAACCTTCTTACAAATACACTAAAAAAATCAGAATAAAATTAATGATAATAACATTAATTGATAATATTTCATTTAAAAAACAAGACTTTTCGTTTGAGGTGTATGCAAGGGGGAAACAGCGGACTTCAAGACTTCAAGACTTCAAAAGACTTCAAAAGACTTCATCAGACTTCAGCCGCTATGACTTCATATTTTCACAAGACTTCTAAAGACTTCTAAAGACTTCTGAAGACTTCAAATGACTTCGCAAGACTTCATAAGACTTCGTATGACTTCATGGGACTTCATGGGACTTCATGGGACTTCAAAAGACTTCCAAAGACTTCGTTAGACTTCACAGACTTCGTGAGACTTCACGGACTTCATAAGACTTCACGGATTTCATGAGACTTCAGAGACTTTGTAGGACTTCTTGAGACTTTATAAGACTTCATCAGACTTCATAAGACTTTACAAGACTTTATAAAACTTCACAAGACTTCACAAAACTTCACAAGACTTCACAAGACTTCACAAGACTTCATAAGACTTCACAAGACTTCACAGGACTTCAAGAGGCAGATTCCATGCGTATCAAAAAACCTCATAGAAATTACATGAAACCTCTATAACATGCAAAAAAACAAAACTTATCAAATAGTAGGGGTGTCATTTATCGTTTACTTTATAATAAATATAAATTATTTATCATTTAATTTACGCGTAAATTAAATGGAAAATAAATATATATTGACACCCTTATTCATAACAGAGTAACTAGTGTCTTCCGAGAACCACGAACAGGAATGATATTGAAAATTGATTGCTCCCAAAAGTCTGTTTTGTGGAACTCACGTATATTTTCGAAGAAAATAGTGAGTGTAAGTTTTCAGTTCGAGGTTTGGCGGCTCCCCCTCCCCCCCACCCCATTACAGACAACAACCTATTACAGACAGCCCCCCATTACAGACACTCCTCATTACAGACCTTAGCAACGAGGATTAAATAATGGATAAATAAATAAATATATACATATATAATAGTTTCATTTACCATCTAATTCAATGCTTATAATAAAAAAGAACAAATATAGAATTAAGACAAAAAAGAATGTGAAAAACGAAAAATGCTGAACGAATAGCAACAATAAAACGAAATATAAGGGCGCCCGTCAGAAAATTAAAAAATTTAGAAATTCTTGATATTATACGTTCTATATTTCATGTTAGTATAATGAAGCTGAAGAACATACGTGAGTTTTACATTTCAGCCCCAAAGAAGTTGCGCTGACAAGCTTTTCACCTATTAGCGGGTGTAAAAGTAAAGGGAACACGCACGCTCAAACTTAAACTCACATGCTACAAGAATTAAAAGGGCTAAAATATTCTTAGTGTAAGTATGAAGGCATGGACGTGATACTAATACTTGAGACCCTAAAACTTTAACCATTCTACTATTTTCTTCTATCAAGATTCAAATCGTTTGCGAATAAGTAATCATTCTTTCTCGTATAAATTCTAGGGTGTGGGGTGTGGGTGTGGATGTAGGGTGTGGATGATGGTGTGGGTGGTGGTGTGGTGGGTGTGGGTGTGGGTAATAATATATTATTCATTCACATGCACACCCACCCACACCCCATGCCCACACCCTCAAGAGACTTCAAGAGACTTCAAGAGACTTCATGAGACTTCATGAGACTTCAAGAGACTTCAAAAGACTTCAAGAGACTTCATGAGACTTCATGAGACTTTATGAGACTTCACAGACTTCAGAGACTTCAAGAGACTTTATGAGAATTCATAAGACTTCAAGAGACTTCAAGAGATTTCAGAAGACTTCAAAAGACTTACAAGACTTCATGGGACTTCACGGCTGAAGTCTCTGCTGTTTCCCCCTTGGGTGTATGACATTGATATACATATTAAATTTCATTTTATCAAATTTACAAGAGATTAATATATAATTATAAATAACTGGAAAAACTAATTTCATTTTTAGTCTGTTTATCTTTTTAACTGTATTTCATCAGATTGGTATGTCAAACAAAAAGTTTAGATTGAATATAGATTCCGTATCATTTTTCTTCTATATTTCAATTTCTAATAAATCCTTCAACGAATGGTTTGTTTAAAAATCAGTTATCAATCAGTCGAATATGTACTCTTTAGTTTCTTAATAATTTACTACATATTATTATGTTTAATTACAGACAATACTCGAAATTCAAGTACGGAAATAATTTCATGTAGGATAAAGTATTTTACATGAAACTGTAAATCAAATGCCTAGGTTATTTTTTTTCCTTCTGACATGTTTTTTTTCATTTTTCATTGAGAATAATGACACATAAACTATTCATCCATAGTTAAGTCTATTGTAGACTACAAAAGTAGTGTAGTAATCTGCATCCCTTCCGTTACTATAGTAAAAAAATTCATGGCAAGATCACGAGAGTCTGTTAATTCTGGTAATGTAATTCAATGTATTATCTAGAAACGCTGTAACCTGTTCTATGTCAATTATTATAAACATTCTTTATATATAAGAAATTCAAACTAACTATTTCTTAGAATATCAAAATGATTACTATTATGTCGATTCGTTTTTGGTTGATTTTTATGATTGTTATATTTGTAATGATCATTGATGGTTCTTCTTTTATAGGACCATTAACAGAAGATGAATGTAAAGAATGTTAGTAAAATTTTCTATTTATTTATTGTCAAATTTTTCTCTTTTATTAGATTTTGCATCGTATAATGTTCATAAAAAAACTGCATGCTTATTTTAGTTGTCCAAAAAAAAAATTATGATCAAAACTTAGAAGATGGGAGTCATACGTAGCAAAACGTTCATTGAAATTTATTGATGATCAACAAAATCATTTTCTAATTTTCAAAAGAATAAAAATAAAATAATTATTACTTGTACATTTATTTAAATAATTCTTTTCTATATAATAAATAAAAACAAAAAAGAAATTTCTTATACAATTTTGTCTTTCATGATTTCTTGATCAGTTAAAATAAAATGATTAGATTTTAATTTTTAATGATATTGATGAGAATAGAGCAAAAGAACAAATCAATAGCTATTTATTTATAACAGTTTTTTACGCACATGAACTGTTCCAAGAAAAATACTTCGTGCATTTCTCTTTACACATGACATGCAATCACACTACGCTTCAGGATTTCAAGAATCAGAAGATGTAAGACAAAATGCATGCAAAAAAAAACACATCTGACAAAGAGTTTTAAAATAATTTTATCTTCTGTAGTATCAAACAAAAAGACGTCCGAATTTCTTTTCTTTCGAATTGCTGAAAACCATAGGTCGCTAATTGTTGCTGTTGTCGAGTTAATAAGCTTATGGTGCTAGGATAATTCGTCACAATCACATAATCCAATCATAATTTATATCTATTTTTCAACAATGAAGTGATCTATTCAATTAAGTTTAAAACGTGTAAGTCAACGACTATAAAAATTATTGGAAATATTATTGGTGGTTGAACTTTGATTTTTGATCTTGAACAGTACGATAATCTTCTTGTTCGAATAAAAAGTTAGTTTATTTGAGCTATGCGAGTGGTAAAAATTTTCCTATACCAGTAGACATGACACTACACCTTTCTTTTAATTTGTGTTACAGTTCAAAGCTTCTTACAATGGGAAAATAATTACTTTGAAAGGATTAGCCAAATTTAGCGTTCATTGAAGAAAAGCAAATTTAATGTGATCAGAGAAAAAAACAACTTTTAATGAATTTCTATTTTTAAATCTTTGCATTTGACGTACAAATTCTGTTATTTTACATATTTAAAACTAAACTAGTCGAATTCAATCAATGATTTATACAATGCTAGAAATAATTTTGATCATACCTCGTAAATCGAAGGTTTTTTTTTGCATCCTATTGACATTAATTATGGAGTAGGAAATGGATCCAATGTTTTATCTTGCTAGGATTCTTTATAGTAATGGCATATCCCGAAAGCAAAAATCTAAGTTTAACTATTAGTAATACTTCCAATAATTTTTATAGTTATTGGCTTACATGTTTCAAACAGAATTGAATAAGTCGTTTCATTATTGAAAAATAGATATAAATTATAATTGAACTATATCATTGCGATGAATTCTTCGGTCGCCTGAGCTTAAACTTACCATTCTTTAATTCTGATGTGGATATTAGTTGCTATCATTTGCTATTTAGATGATTTACATTACATAAACATCCAGTATTTAATCTATAGATGTTAATTATTTTTCTTATTATTGCTCTAAGATATTCATTAAAATAAAAATTAAACAATATTCTATTCGTCTATTATTTCCTTGTTGAAAGATTTCTTGAACAAATCTTTATCATATTTACTACCTAGGTTTATTCTATGAAGATCTTGTTGATCAAACACGAGAAGACTATAGATTTAATATTGTCAATATAAAGATAGATCAATCCAGTTTCATTGTCAACCTCCTCAGATATCAGTTAACGATTTCAATGGCCTTTTATCTATAGATATTACATAGTGTTCTAATAAACATTCTAAAAGAATTTTGATTTGATTAAGTTATCGAATTTTTTTCTAGAGACACCAGATTTTCGGAAAACTTGTATTTTCGAATATTGATCTGAAACTTAATAGATATAGAGAACTGAACTAGATTAACTTCCATAAGAAAAAATTTATAAGTTTTGAGCGAAATCTTATCGAGATATGAGAATTTCAAAATATAGATCCTTACGCAGGAAACTAGTCTAGTTGAGTTTTCTATATGCGCAACGTTTTAGATCAAAATTCGATAATACGATTTTTCAGAAAATCTACGGCTTCCAGAAAAACATTCGATAACTTAATCAAATTCAAATCCTTTTAGGATTTTTATTAGAACACTATGTAATATCTATTTAAACAAGACAAATAAAGCTCTAACTAAAAACAACGCTTATCTTCTGTTAAATTTCGATTGATAGTCAATATCTAATTGCATTAGTGTTAACTCTTAGAACTTTGATTAAGAGTACTACGAATCAAACTAGAATTATTATTCAAGATGACAAAAATTAAAAATTTGATCTAATTGATATTTATTAAGTAAAAAAGATTCTTTTTTCTTAACTCTATTGTATACAGAAGTTTTTCACATAAAGCATTAAAAATGTCATACTTTTTCTATTCTGCACTTCCTTTTCTTTTTGTCGTTATTTAATAGTACAAAAAGTATTAATAGAAAAAAAAAATGAACCTAAATGTCTATCAACTTTCTTTTTAATAGATATGTTAGCGTGACAAAACATATCATAAGAAAGCATGTGCAAGATGACAGTGATTCCTAAAGCTATGTTTTTATGTATATTGATATGAAACAAGTGAATGTTTGAGATTATTAAACGAATATTAAGAGTATTGATTCTTTACTTTAAATTAAATTTACTGTTTTCATTCTCAACAGAAAAAAAGCAGTAGCAAAAAATGAATGATATCATATTCAATACAAGTACAATTAAATCATGTTTCTTTTTTCTATGATTTCATCATAAGGTTACATTATTTGAATGTGATGATCTAATTAAAAACTTAAATGAGCATAATTTTTTTTCGACTAATCGAATGCCTAACGTAAAGTAATATTTTATTGATATGATTGAAACTATCTAAAGCGATTTAATCTTTAACAATTTTATTGACAAGAATTTATTAATATCTAGAAAAACAGTTGTGTGCCATGAATACATTCATCTGCATGATAATTCGACATTTTTAAATAAAAATTTGTCATAGAATTGATTCAATTATTCGAGAATAAAAAATTTTCAAAGTTCATCAAGTCAATATTTAATGGTTTGTTTGAATGATCATTGAAGCGTGGAGAGAATATGTTAACTTTTTCATTTTCTTATTACATTGGTCAATATGTCATACAAATGAACAGCCAACAAGCTTGTAATAAAAAACGCTTAATATTGATTTCTTATTTGGTATAGTTATTTCAACTCAAGATCATTTTCCAAGTAAAATCAAATAGATGATAAAGAAAATATCTTAATATACTTGAAACTTCTTTAGATTTTCTTAATTTGATAATTAGTCATGAATAATATTGTTACGTAGATCAGTTTTTAATCATTCAAATAATGATTTGTATCATTATATTATTTTGATGGAATAAGAGAGAATAAAAGTAGATGACTTCATATCTTATAGAAATAATTTTGAAAATATTCCGCAAATTTTTAGATTTTAAAAATAAAATATACGAAAATTTTCGTTTTTTCATACCATTTTGACTTCCATGATATAGTTTATAAGGAATGATTATCATTTTATTCATACAAATTATTAAACACATGTCATAAGTAATTATTATTTATTAGAAAAAAAAAGAGAACAATTACTAATCTCTAGAATCTAACATATGAATACATTTTGATTTTAATCATTGTAATAAATTTTTTTTTCCCAGTGAAGAGAAATACCACTAATTATCATTTTGTCTTTTTTTTCTATATTGAGTATTAATAAATATTCAATAATGTATGTGTCTATAGAATATCAATTTCATTTTATTAATCATTCTATCAGCTGTTTTCAAAATGAATATAATAATCCTTATATTAATAAATAATTTATTCGTGAGTAATGGGTTTTTTTTTATGTTGCACTTTCTTTCAATAAATGTACTTAGCTGCATATATTTGCTGTTCTCTACTATTTGACAACTAACTATTTTATAATATACTTATTTAAGTTCGAGTGCATCTTTGATTATGTTGGAAAAAGTGAGCGTAGGCGTTTTTTTTTCTTTCTTCAACTATTAATAATAATTTATTGTTTATTTAAAACATATTTATTTAATTTTATCTACTACAATAATCTGAGTGTGGATAGTAATACGAATAGGTTAAATTGAATATAGAAATTCTTAAAAAAGAAGATACTTTTTCATGCTCTGGTAAACTATTGTTGATTTAGCTTTAAAGAAGATGGCGTGCAGGTAAATTCGGTTCTTTTCTTTTTCTTTTGTAAAAAAGAAATAGATTATTTACGTATGCATTACTCATTTTCTTGATGAAATTTTATGGTCATTCAGTAGAATTTATATATCAGAAGATGTTAATTTAGATTTTGTATTTTGATTTGTTTATAATAGAAAGTTTTCTTTTTTTGTTTGTTTTTTGCTTTTAGAATTATTCATTATCAAACAAAATGTCGTTTCGAATTTGGCTTATTATATTTTTATTACTGGGTATTTTTATTTGTAATTGTTTTTGTAATTTCGGATATCGTATGGGTCCATTGACTGAACAAGAATGCAGAGAATGTAAATAATAAATAGAAAATCTTTATTAATTTATTAGTTCTTTTAATTCTTTTCATTTGATATTTAATAGATTTCGCATCAAAGGATCTAAACAAGTTTTTTATAGCTTGGTCCAAATGTCCAAAAAGATTTCGACCGAACAATATATAGAATGTTTGATATTTAAATGTGCTCTTTTGATTATAGACAAAGATCATCAATAATATTCGGTTTTTATCAGTATACAACTTGTATAGACCATATGCATTATATATAGATATTTTCATTGAATTTACTCTTTGGGTTTTTTTTTCGCGTATGAAATATCCATGTATGCTTTCTATTATTCGTTTGCTTTTATGAATTAATTCAAGATAAATAAACAATCAATTTTTGTTTTTAGAAGTCTTCTTAAAAAAAAAAGACAAATGTATGAAAACTGGTCATAATTTCTATACATAGCATAAAATCAATTCAAACCTCTCAAATTTTTCAACCCAGAGGTGTTCTACGTGTTACATTGAATAGAATTGAAGAATCAATACTAATATATATATAGATTCCAAAATTGTCTGTCGCAGCATGCAACGAAATATAAATTTTAATAAATGAAAAAAACCATGAAACGATACAATGTCACGATGTAGTATACTCATATAAACCATTATAAAATAATACATACTTTAGCTATAGTATAAAAAAAAAGATTATATCGAAGAGTAAAGACACGTGTTCTCTAATATATCAATCGTATGCGATTATTTTTAGCTTATTATTCAAGTGTATAAACAAAAATACAACCATTAAAATAAACCAATATGTATTAAATTATTCATTCCTTTTGTTTAAAACTATTTAAAAATAGTTTCTTATTCTCTCGTTAGTATTTATTCGTTTTTCTAACGATGATAATTTATCATCGACTTGACAAAAAAAAAAAAAAACAAATCCTTTCATACGTATCGAATATTTATACGATGTACATCGAGAGTGATAGTAACCAAAAACAATCCAACGATTTGTTTTTTTTTTTATTTTCATATCTCATATATGCATTACTCGCATGAATAATAACAACAAAACAGACCTTAACAAATTAATGTCCTTAAGTTTTGTTTTCAAATATTTTCTATTTTTTCAGATTAATATAATACAATGGATTTGAATAACTTTGGTTCTCAACAGTTAAATGATGGTTCATTAAATCAAATGCTTGAACAAGTTGGTATTAATGATGTTGGTTCATTTTTAAATCAATTTCGTAATCAAGCACAGAGAGAAACTCAACGAAGTCATCAAACATCAAGAGATGAACCTGATGATGATCAACCAAGGGTAGAAAAGAGAATATGTCGATTTTTTTGTTTTGTCTATGTAAATATTTTAATTTTTTTTTGTTTAGTCTGGTGGTGGACAGAATTCTCTTGATATGATTCAAGGTGCAATGAATGCTTATAATACGTTTTCAGGTGGCAGCGGAGGTAGCAGTGGTAGTGGCGGTGGTTTTTTTAATAATATTAGTATGAGAAAATAATTATAGATTTAAAAGAAATTACGAATTAAAATTTTTTTTTTCTAGGTTCAACATATCAAAATGCACAAAAAAATGTATGGTTTATATAAACAATTTGATAGAAATGGTGATGGAAAAATAACAGCTGACGATATACAAATATATCTTCAAGAAGTTGGACTTGGTGCTGCTTCACCATGTAAATATTAATAGAAATTATAATGTTTTGTTTATTTATTTATTTTTTAATATTGAATTATTTAGATTTAGCAAAAGCATTGTTTCAAACAGTCGATCAAAATCATAATGGTTCACTTGATTTTACTGATTTAATGGCTTTAACTGCTCTCTTAAATAAATTATACGGTCAATATGGTGGTTTTCCTCGATAAATTTTTTCAAATTTGATAAATAAACATTAAGAATTCTTTTTTTTTTTTGTAGTTAGATTATATAACCTTATTCTATTGATGTTTGATTAATAAATAAAATATACTTCCGCTATACCAAGATCAATGATGAAGGGATTTTAATTTCTTATAAAAAGCTTAAGAGTATTGGCCTCTCCATTTCGTGACCCGAAATTTTTGTTGTGTTTTTTTTGTACATTGTTTCATATTTTTCTCAAACCAATTTTTTCATGAAAAAAAAAGTGCAGAAATGTCCTCGTTTCTCCGGCCTTGTATATTCGATGGAACTGAAACTTTTTTTTACATTTACTACACACTGTTTAGGATGGGTATTTTTTTTTTACTGTTCTGCTGATTTTTCATAGAACTTACAAAAAACCTCTATTCAAAACCAATCATAGGTATTTTAGGGTTTCTTCAATATTTTTGCTTTTCTATTCGAAAAGAAAAAACAAGATATCGACCCCAAACGGTGTCTAATGTTTGTAAAAAAAAAATTTCAGCTTGATCGAACATAATTTCTCGAAGAAACAGGAGGTGACCATTGCCATCTTAGTATATCATAGAAGACAGCACCAAGGATGACAACTTTTGTTCTACTCATCGAGATATATTATCTGCTCTAATATTTCAAATAATCATCCAGGCTATTGACAATCAATACCATTCGTTAAAGTCATTTATCGAATGTTTTTGTATACTCTTATTTATTCAAAGAATTTATGAGCTTGATGCAATAATTTATGAGAATAGAAGTTAATGCAAAAAAAAAAATAAATTAAAAATGTAATGAAGTATACAATTAATTGAAACAACCATCAATACAAAAATCTATATTACAATCTTTACACATAATTTTCTTAAATAATCAAAAAAAAACTAATTTGCATTATTAGCTGTATCAATCATGTGAATGTTAAAATTATAATTAATCATTGAAAATGAGTTTTAGAGTTATTGCATTATTTCTTTCGGTAAAGTTCATTTGAGGACTATGAATAGTTGATAATATCATGATTTCTCGTTTATCATACAATTTCAAAGCTAATATGTTCTCCGTATTTTTATAAACTTGTTTGCCTTTTCCAATTTTAGTTTCGACTTCAAATGAACCCAATCTATCTTTTCTTAGAGTTTCACACGCGTCAATTGATCTTTCAAATAGTTTCTCAAAAAAGAGTAACATTTGTGAACCAATTTTCGATTAAATGAAGAAATTATAGAATTATCAGAAATTTATTCCTACTCATAATACTTTCAAATATAGGTGTTGAGATCAATTATTCAATAGATCAATAATCTTTCATTCGACTTTTCTTTGTATCAAATATTAACATATAAAGCACTAAAAACTTCGGATATGATAGTATTAATTGTTTTTGAAATATCTTTCAGATAAACTTTCCTATTGCATTGAATATAAATAATATCTGTTTGTCTCTTCAACAATGTTTTCCATCGAAGTATTGTCAAATATTAAACGAAAATAATTCAATGAACTATTTTCATCAAGTTTTGGTAAATTGAAATTGATATCAGAATCATTTGAGTCAAATAAAATTTATTTTAATTTGAACATCTCATTTTTCCATGTTCTTTCTTCGATCGGTTCTTCTGTATCTTGCATGTCTTCTTCTTCTTCTTCTTGTTCAAAATTCGATTCATTATTATCAAAACCAAAAATAGAATCAGTCACTGATGTAGCATCTGTAAAGTTTTTACGGACGATATCTAAATGATCGATAATAGTGAGATTTTGAGAAGTTCGACTAGAGAAATTATGACATAAAAGAGACGACACATAAAATCGTCAATGTAGAAAATATTTTGAGATGAACAGAAAATTTTAATAGAGTATGTAAGATTAGTTGCAATAAATAAAATAGTTATCCTGTGCTCTGAAATTTGATTTTGTCAAACACATTACATTATTTATATTATAAAAATATCCAATCCCAGAATTATAGGTGTAACGATGGGTTCCACACAAACTAATAATAGTGTCTTATGATAGATGATCTAGCATGTGCTATGAATGATGACGGGCCTAGACTATTTCATAACGTCTATCTATGTAACATGCATATTGAAATAAAATTCATACTAAAAATCTTAATATCTTAATACATACGAACGGCTAGGCATTAGAAGAGCTTTTTATACAAACATAAAGTACCTTCGCAACTACTTTTGGATAGCACTAAGTAAAAGTGGTTCTCTTGTAGATTGAATAGTTCAATAAAGAAACTATTTTAAAAGCTGAAAGTTTTAGCATTTTCATAACTCATTCGGGACTACATACAGACAAAATTTCATTGAAATCAATGACATCAATTGAGCATTTGATCCAAATTTAGAGCTTCTCTATTATGCAATAATTCTTAGAAGTGTGAGAACTATGATTTGAACCAATGATGAAAAACTTATCTGAAAGATCGATTGAAAATTCCATTCTCCATTGATAAGACGTACAATAGGAAAGTTTTAATGTCAATTACAGATAAATATTAATATTGAACTGTGACAGATATGTAAATTTTAAAATGATTCTAGTTTCTACTAAATACAGCAAACTCTTAGAGTTCATTTTTTCAGAATTTAGGTCTACTTCAAGAAAATATACCATTCATATGAAGCGTACGAAACTTTTCGATGTGATTTTTTGTGTTGTACAAAGAAGAATATTTTTTTTACCAAAATATGATCTACATTCTTTCATGATATCCTTAATAATAATAATAATAATAAAATATATAAAATAATGACTCTCATCAACAATTTATGAGACAGAGAACCGTCAAACTTGCAAAACTATCATTAAGAGTATCAAAAAAAAAAATGTTGAAATGACTTCATGTGTTTGTTTGTTTTTTTCTTTCTACAAAGCAAAGATTTTTTCTTTAATTCACAAATATATATTTCAATCAAAAATTAAAATAGTATTATTCCATTAGAAAAGTTTCAATATCATAATTAAAGTTAAAGGTAAAATAAGAAAACTTGTTGAAGTCATTGATTTAGCATGATTACATAAATTCGATTGACAACACCATAGACCATTGCCTCTTACATTATCTTGAACACACCATTGCCCCACATCTCGATCGACAACAGTCATTATTGATGATTTCTATTTTATAATGAAATAATTAAAATTTTATCAAAAACAAAAAAAAAAAAGAAGATTAAATTACTCGGCAATAATATCCTTGATTAGCAGGTACTGATACAGTTATCACACCATTGGAATTAAATGGATCATCACAATCATGACATGAGTAACACGTAAGAGTATTACCTGGTGGAACTATATTTTAAAATATTTGTATAATATTTAGAATAAAATAAAGAGGATCTTTTTTTTACAAAAATTACCTGTGACTTTTGTTGTTGTTCCTATTGTTGTCGACGTAAATAAAGAACCTATAATAATAGACAAAAAGTTTACTTCAAGATCTAGATTATCATATATTTACATTACCGTTGTCATAAATATTTCCATTTCTATCAATAGAAATTTGATAAGGACCAGTAATATTAGTTTTATATAATTTCAAAGACGAGATAATAACATTTCTATCTATATATGATGAAATAGTATTTGAAGGTCGTGTAATAAATAATCCGCCAGTATCAACAACAATTGATGAATTTATATAAAATTGAAAACCATTTTGTGTTGCATCTTGAAATATTCCACCATTATAAATAAGAAATCTTATTGGATAACGAAATAAATAAATATCCCAAGAAGATATTTCAAAAATACCATATATATGAATATCAAAAGCATTTATTGTTGATTGATTATTATATCTTGTTAATTTAATACCAGCTGGAATAAATAAAATACATCCACCAGAAGTTGGTGAACATCGATCAAATGTTGGTGATAATCCACCTATCCAAATAGAATTTAATGAAAATTCACCGGATTGATAAGAAACAAATGTTATTGCTACAACAAGAAAAATAGTCAATATAGAATATATATATATATTAGTTTTATTAATCAAAAGTTTATTTACATGAATAATGTTGAATTGTTCCTTGAAGATCAACTGTTAATGTATATGGACCATTAATAGTTGAAATTAATGTTTGATTTGAATTATTCGAAATAATTTTTGTTGATTGTAAGGAATAGAATGAAGCATTTCTATAAATACTTATTATTGAATTTGGTAAAATAAACCATGTATGATTTGAAGTTAAATCTTCTAATAATCCTCCATCAAATATCATTATATTAATTGAATATGAAAATCTAAATGAACTTGTTAAAGATGAAATATTTGGAGAACCAATTTGTAATTTTCCATAAATTCTCAATGATTGAATATTCATATTCAAATATGATTCATCACTAATATAGACAGTAATATTTGCAGGAATTATGACAGTTGAATTATCTTGTGGCCTAATATTATTGGTCCATGTATTTAGAGAATTAAAATCACCCGATTGATTAGCAGTTACAATACTTGAATCTTCAATAAAAAAAAAATTCTCGTTATAAATTTTATATTAATTCTCTCTTTCTATTTACTTGGCAACAATTGTGTTGCAGTTGATACAACTACAATAAATATAGAAAATAATTAATATACGAATAAATAAATATTGAAATAATTTTAATTAAGATCATATAGGCTATTTGTTATAAAAGTTTTTTTTTAAATTTCAATTCAAATTATTCTTTAATATTTTCGAAAAGATATCAGAGGAAATCTTCTGAAAAAAATAACTTACATAAAAGGAAAAAGACGATACAGATGCTGTTAATATGCATTTATTCACGAAATAATTTTGATCTATTATGAAAAATATTCAAATGAATACATAAAATAAATCTCTCAATCCTATTATATAGACTAAATTACCTTGAATTTCTTGTTTTTATATGTAGGTAGTGATGTCATATCTAAAATATGTCGTTCGTTATCACTTCCTCTATCTATGCTAAAATTGAAAAAAAATCAGTATGACTATATGGACCATGACATATGAAATCAATAGTGCGTGTCGGAAGAGAACATATCTATCATTCATTTTGTTTATGCATGACATAATGTTTCTTTCAATGATTAATTATTTCCTACTTTCATTCGTTGAGTCATAAATAAATCGAATATTTTTTTCTTCCTCAATATTTATACCATTTACAAAACAGATACAAAAATATCATTAAAATCCTTTTAAGAAAAGCAAAGCTTTACATAATGTGGTCCATGATTATATTCTATTTGATTGGATTATCAACCATATATTGTATGAATATTGATAATCGTACGCATATGAAAAACTTTTTTTCCTCTTTATTTAATAGACTATTATAATATTTTATTTTAGAAGTACTCGAAGGAATAAATTTACGAATCATACCTGAACAAAATCTTTCTTCATTTTCAAATCTTCATCAAAATTTAAAATATTTTATTGCTAAAAAATTAGATACAATATCAAGTTCTCTTAATTATGGAAAAATATTACCACCATTTACTGTTCAACCAAATCAAGGTGATCGTTTTCAAGTATTAGCCGTTGCAAATTCTCAACGAATAATTAAAATACGTGGAAATCAAACAGATGGAAAAATAATGATAATGGAAGGAGAAATTTTAGTTGGAGAAGGTCCACCTATTCATGTTCACCATCGTGAAGATGAATATTTTCATGTTTTAAAAGGTGAAATTGAATTTCAAATTGGAGAACAACGAATTTTAGGAACAGCTGGTACATGGGTATTTGCACCACGTTATATAAAACATCGATATCGAAATGTTAATTCACCTGGTGCCGTATTACAATTTGTTTTTCATCCAGCTGGTATAGAATATTATTATGAAGAAGTTAGTAAAGTTATTGTTGCACAAAAACCAAATTGGCAAAATGAAGCAGCTGATATTGCAGCAAAATATGGCATTGAACTTCTTGGAACACCAGATTGGACTGGATAATTATATTGAAAATTTTTTTTAAATTTTATTGTTGTTTTTCTGAAAAGATTTTTAATAAAATATTGTGTAGTAAAACAAGAAAAAAATGTTATATAATACTATAGGAGATTATTAAACAATCTAAGTTTTTAAAGATTTATATATGTTGCAGTAGAATTTCAATTTCTATTGAAACATATATATATATATTTTAAACAAATTTATTAAAATTAAATAAATAATCAAATCTAAATTTGAATTCATTTACAAAATAATCAATAAGATCAAAAATACAATAAAAATCTTGATTTCTTTTTTTTTTTAAAATAACCTCCATTTTATTTCGATTTTCTGAATTCTAATAAACAATCAAGTCATGTTCTCTGATAATTAGAGTATTCTCATTAGATAATAAATAGTAGAACTTTGTATTTTATTTTTTTCATTCATCTAATACGTTTTATTAAAAAAACCAAATATATCACAAAATGCAGCGTGTGAAAAACTCTACAATTTACATAAGATCGTGTATTTAATAGTTGCACTTTTTCTTTTTCAAAATGAGCAAAATTTTGAACGACCAAATTTCGATCGTGCGAAGATTGATCACACAGAATTTTGTTTTGTTTTTGAAAACGAAAAGTAGACAATTAAGGTGAACTTTATTTTGTAGAGCTTTTCACGCTGTATCCTGTAGTATATTCTGTTTTTTTTTAATAAAACATATTTAGAAATAAAAATATGAAATGCGAAATTCTGTCATTTATTATGGGTCATCTGTTATTTTTTTGCTTTTGAATGATAATTATCTGATAGAAAATATACTATCGTGTTACTAAATGAGACGTTCTTTTTTTATATTTTGAAAATATCTAGTCGAATAATAAATTATGTTTTGAATTCTAAGAAAAATTCCGAAGAGAACTAATTACTTTCGATTTAAATGATGAAGAAAAACTACTCTCTCTCTTGTTGTTTTTTTTTGATTGTATAAATCAATATAGATAATGCACTATCATTTCAAGGACTTTGACTTATGAGCATGACATTAGCATAAACGTCTACGTAAGTTCTGATTAAATCGATGAATCAAAAAAAAAGGTAAAGATGTAATTAGTAAAAAGCAAAACGAAAAACACATTTAATATTATCTCTTCTAATGTGTAATATTGATTTCATGCTTCATGACACATACAGTCATGATTTTTTTTTCCAATCTGAAATAAATGAAGAAAGTGACAACACAAACGGTATATTTTAGATATGGCGTCATTACTAACATCGAAAAAATCAGAACGTCTGACTCATTCAATCTATATATTAGAAGTGAGAAAATCATTTGATGTATTCATTTGAATATTTTTCACAATAGATAAAAATTACTCTGTAAATAAATGCATATTAATGTTTTCTGTATAGCTGTTTTCTTCATTCTTGCAATTGATTGTAAGTATTTCACTAATGTCTTATATTCAATATCTCTAAATTTCTTGTATATATTTACAATTAATAAAATAATAATTTATAATTTTATAAATAGTGATACAATCTCAATCTTATACCGCTGTTCAACCAGGTGGTGGTCAAAGAGTTCATGCATTACCATTTCAAAATGGTTTTTATAGAATAATTCTTCGTGGAAATCAAACAAATAAACAATTTACAATTATTGAAGGTGTAGTGTATATGAATGAAGGAGCGCGATTACATTATCATATGTTTGAAGATGAAATGTTTTTTGTTACAAATGGTACTCTTCAATTTTATGTTGATGGTGATCAATTTTGTGCTAAAGCTGGTACAACTGTCTATATACCACGAAATATAACACAATCAATTCGAAATATTAATTCAAAACCAGTTCATGTTCAAATATTATTTGCACCATCAGGTAGAGAAAATTTTTTAGAAGAAGTCAGTATTATTAATGATAATCCACCAATTAATGCTACACTAGCAAATCAACTTGCTCTTCGATATGGACAAGTTAATTTAGGTGAAGTATCATCATGGAAAGATCTCAATTGTGTACATGATTCTAGTACTCTTTTGAAATTATCTTTTTATTTAATGTTTTCAATGTTTCTGAGTTTGATTTTCAATGCTGATTTTTTTTAATAGAAAATAAATTCTAAATAAAGATTATCAATCGGAAGATTAAAGAATTGTAACTAATAGATATACTCGATTGACTGGACTTATTTCGATTTATTTAAATCATCAACTTACGAGAAAAAGTCTCCAACTTACGGATGTCGTTCGACTCCATATTATGACTATGAGGTAGGTCTCTATGAAATAAAGAAAAGACTAAAAGGATTTGAGTTCATGGCCTATTGATGAACAGTTATGGAAGTTTTACTGAATTTTGTGCTCGTGACAAGGAACTTCCGAAACAATCGAATTAAAGAATTTTGTCCATAGATAAGTCTAATGGTCCTTTGAATCGCGCATCAAAAAAAAAAAAGCTCACGAACAACATTCATACAAAATCGCATCAATACTCTTTATGGTCGATATAATGATGGTATCATCAGGTCTTCTCATTGGTTGTTGAAACGCAAAAAAAAATAGATATAAAACATATGTATAGTTCAAGTTAAGTTGTTTATTAAGTTTCTTTTTTTCTTATGAATAAAAATTCTACAAATGAAATAAACATATTGAATCTTTTCTTATCAACTGACGTTTGAATAAGTCGACATATTCACCTTTCGACCTTTTTTTTTGCATTTCGACTAATGTAGGGTTTACTATATGTTACTGTAAGCATTCGGAACACTTTGTTATGAACTAGTAGAATATCTTTATCAAGTAAATTATTGACGGGAAAAAAGTTGTTTTTTTTTGCATTTTGAAATTTTATTGCTTTGAAAATTACTCACTGTTATCAAATCGCATTATAACATATCAATAGATTTGTATCTTCTTTTCTATTATAAATAACAAAAAAAAACAATGTTGTAAAAAAAATAGTTGATTATAACAAAAAATTTAAAAGATCAATTTGAATAGACAATATATGATTACTAATAAAATCATGCAAATATTTTGTTTTCATTTTATTTTTATCAACATTATCATTATTACTGTAGTTTTATTAAAAACAATAACTCTTTATAATGCACTAAATATCTTTTAAATATCAACCTTGGTTTTTTTTTTCTTTGCTTTATACTAAAACTAGTATAAATCAATTGTATTACTCATTAGTCAAATTGCATATGATAAAACTGATTATAATACATTGAAAAAGCTGTTAGTGCAATCTCCGCGGAATTAAAATATGAAACACGATCTAGATATTACTTCTAATCCTCTGAAAATTGGTCTTTTTATGTATATTGGGACATATTTCTTCATTATTACTTACTTTAAAGCATAGAATTTCAACATATATATATTCCAATTAGATATTAGTTATACACGATCTCCGATAGCTTCTTAAAGCTGTCTGTCACGATCTGTAATGGGTTCGGAACCTGTCTGTTGCGGCTTGTGATGTTCAATTAATCAAATAGGTAGTAATTAGCTAGTTAATTATTTAATTAACCAATGAATTAGATAGTACTTAATTAATGAATTAGGCATTAATGAATTAATTAATCAGACAGTATGTAATTAATTGATTAATTAGTTAGATATAATTAGTTAATTAATTGTTTAATTAATTAAAATGTCTGTCACGATTTGTGGGAGAGCGGGTTCAAATTTCTACCCTATATACTTCAACACTCCTTTTAGATCATGTTTCACAAAAAAACCTAGCAAAAATAATAATTCTCTGTACTGTTTAATCTCTATCGTTATTCATTATAGAAATAAACTCTTGCTTGATTGCGTCCTTGACAAATAAGAGTACATGTGTAAGATAAACAAACATTTATAATTATTTAATAGAAAAATGTCATGATAAATTTTATGATGAAATAGACCAGATATTATTTGATAATAAAAATAGAATATTGTTAGGTTAATTCAAATGATAGAAACTTTACTCGAACATTCTAATAAATATATTTTTTAATAGAATACTTTCTTTTATTAATTTTCTTTTTTTTTTAATAAAAATAAGCAGAAGCGGAAACAAAAAAACAACAAAGGAATTGCTTTAATTTTATATACAATTTATGATATTAGCCTAAACAAAAAATTAAAATTATTATAATCATTCTTAATTAAATAAATTTCTATTATGGCTATAAATTGCCTATATAAAACACTTAAAAATTAATGATTATCTGATAAGAACAATCACATATAATCAAAAAAAGATTACGACAAAATTTTAGATACAATTTATATACATATTTATATATATATATACATATAATCATTTATAAAAATTTAACTACTGCTTGATCTTTTAAGCCAAACTGTACCACCTGATTCCATTGTTGTTGTTTTTAACATATTTCGTTTTGTTTCTGCTGATAATTGTTCACGTGGTAGAATTGATATTTGTTCATAATCATCTATTGATGAAATAGCATCTTGTCGTTGAATACCTATAGAAGATTTTTTAACTTCAATAGAAGATAATATAGGTGTTTCTTCAATAAGAATATCAGTTTGTTTCATATTATTTGTTTGTAAACGATGATGAGATACATGAAGACGAGGAGCTGAATAACATGGACGAAGTGAACATGTTATTGTTGATTGTCGTGCAGATGAATATGGTGATGGTGATGGTGAACGTGATGGTTGACATATATGTGATGATGGTGAACGTTGTCGACTAGGAATTTGTGAATGAATACTTAATTGTGAATAAGGTGATATTGATGGTGATACATAAAGTGGTCGTGCAATTCCTGTTGTTGGTACACCGCGTGGTACAGATGAATGTCGTGAATATCGATGATGATGATGATGATGTCCATGTGGTGCAAGACTAGCACGTGGTGTATATAATTCAATAAGTTCACCTGTTATAATTGAATTACGTTTAACTACATGTGATATTTGATGACTACGTGAACTTTCACGTCGTCTTGAACCAATTGTTAATGTATCATTTATTCCGCTATATTCACTTTCAAAATAAGTTGAACCAGTAAATATATGTGAAAAATAAGATGATGGGACATATGATGATGTTGACATACGTTGATGTCGTCGTGTATTATTTAAACGATTTCTTAATGATAAATCATTATTATTATTAACTTGTAATGTTGAGTTACAAATTAATTTAAAATGACATGGAATAAAAAAACATGTTTGACCAATTGGACCTATATAATAGAGAATTGATTGAAGAAAAAATGTTGAATAAATCAAACTAATTAATGATGATATTATAAATATTATTGAAGATTTTGATAAATATGGTAATGATGAAAATAAACAAGGACAACATATAATAATTATTGAAAATGTTAAATAAAATAATGTTGTACATAATTGTTTAAGAGAATATATTGTTCGATTTTCACGTTGAAAGAAAAATGTTGGTGCTAATTTATAACTAAAAAAATTAAATAAATCATCTTTTTGGTTTTTATTTTATTTATTCAATTATTCTTATGATAAAAATAATTAGTGAAATCAAGAAATTATGATAATAGAATTTATAGAAAGATGTTTTCAAACTAAGGATAGAAAAAAAAATGTTATGTATGAATATTTGTCTTTTAAATAGAGACTTGTCTCTGCTTTTGAAATAGATAACATTATTTTAGCAGAAGAGTAGGGAGCTGCGGGTTCGCGTTTTTGTGAAGCCAGTTGGATCCAAACCCGAGATTTTTTTCATCAATATCTGGCACCCTTCGTATACATGAACAAGTGAAGGATCAAGATTTCAGCTAGTTATCCGCTACTCAACTGAACGTAAAGTTATTTTGTCATCTGGGAAGGAACGGGTCCACAAAAACTAAAATAAAACTTTGGATCCGATCGGATCCGCATCGCCCTACTGAGGAGTCTTATTTCATTAAATCAGCGTAATTGAGACTAGAGAAACATCTAAAAGGAATTATGTTCATGAGATCTTTCATTTTTGAGTTGGTGAATTTTTCGAGAGAAATGTGATGAGCTCGCTCATCAAGGAAGTGTCTCAACTGATAAATTGCTCTTGAGTTGAGACTATATGCATTGTGTAGAACCATATAAACTATGAATACATCGAAAACAGTTCAGATTCTTAGTAGTAGTGGAGCCCCCCCCCCCCCCCCCATCCCCTCCCTCCAGAATTGAGACGATCCGGCATTAAAATAGTGGAATATACCAGTTTTGAGCTTCAAAACGGGGCTCAGCCCTCTCCAGAAAAAATTTCTGACTCCACCACTAATTCTTAGATATTGCACTTTGACGGTAGTTTTTAAATGAATTATATGGTCCCATCAGGAATACCGAAAAAACTGATTTTCGTAGAGACAGTCCTTAATGAGAATTATTTCTCTCATGAATGTTTCAAATCTTATCGTCGTTCGTATCTTAAGATGCAGTGCTATGATAAAAGCGAGTCATTCATATAAACTGATGGAAAAAGTTTAACAACAACGTATTTTTCCATAATGTGAAACATCCAATTGAAATTCAAATACTGATTGTAATAGCCAAAGAAGTTTTCTAAAAAAAACTGGGATACAGTAGTTTTTAGGTTCCGGAAGATTTTGTCGGAGCTATTTTAAAGGGCATAAAACGAAGAGTCACTGCTTACTTTTAACTTTTCAAGAGCAGATCGTAGAAAATCCAGTGATCTCTCATTGGCTATTAAAATCACTGTCTAGATTTGAGTTAAGTGTTTCATATTATAGAAAAAATACATTGTTGTTAAACTTTTTTTCCTCCACTATCTTATAATGACAGATTCGATGTTCTTATTTCAACATAGAAGCAAATCAAAAGACTTGAAATTTTTTACAATAAATTATTCCTACGTAAGAAATCTTCCTTAGTTTTGGATCAGGTAGCCTATTTCGAAAGTATTTGAAGAAAATTTCATATAAATCAATAATCATGTATTATAACAACAGTAGTAGATTTAGAAGATTTGACTGTTTCTTATTTTTCTCAATACAAAACTGAATCGACACAATCTCTAATGTATTTCAAAACATGCTCTATATGGATCATGATCATCACTTTTCTTCTCGAAAATCTCACATGAC